AGATTATACATTTAGCTAATGCTCTATGCTTGTATTGATCCAACATTAACATTAAGAATTGCCCAGGTTCTGTCTCCCCCCCTCCCTTCTGGAACATTTTCAATATGCCTCTAAGAGGGCAGCAAAAATTTAACTCAGATGAAATAGAGATGCAGAGTTTCAGCTTCTTTCCTTGTAAAAGGTATAGAAACCTGATAAAGAGATAGCAGTACTGTACCTTCTTGGATCTGTCACTAAATAAGCAGCAATAAATGTTCACTTGCACCATTTTTCTGAAGATTACCAATGCATTTTAAAAACCACTTCTCAATTTAAATATTTTTTTCAGAAGTTAACAACATATTTTAAATTATTTATAGTCTTCAATCGTCTCTGAAAGTCGAATATGTTTTGTTGAAATATTTCTGAATCTTTAATGATCTCATTCCCTTCCCCCACCATTAACATTTTCTTGAAGATTTTGCTATGAACTTCTTTTTTTTAACTCTGGCATCTTTAACTCTGGAATCTTTTAGATTCACAGTTCTAAAAAAATGCACCAAATTCAAAACTCATGGAACATTTCTGGTCTTTGTTTACGTAGTATTCGTCGCGAGGCAAGTATGATGTAGATAAATCATACTGAATGGTATAGAGGATATTCAACAAGACCTTTTTAGCGAGGTGCACGCTCTATTCTACTTCGTATTAAAGTCCTGCTCTAAGAAAACGCCGAGAAAGACACAACCATAGGTTCGTGTGGCATTGCAATCAACCCTGATTTCCCGAAAAAACCTCTTCTCCGTCAGCCATCGAGAAGTGCGAAAACGACATTGCAGGAAACCCATAGGCTACAAACAACGTTTCCATCTTTCTCCCATCGATTCGTTCCCCTACCCGCTTTACTTAAAAGAAGGAAGGAATAGATTTAGCCTTTATTAGCATAAACGGGGAAAACATCTAAACTAACTACCCTGCAAACCATTACCCTGTGAAACAAAAGAAGTCCCAAGTATACAAAAGCAGGACCGCGCGAGGCGAGAGAAGCGAGTTTCGCGCCACAGCCAGAAGAGCACCAAAGACTGCCCCAAAAGCCCGTGAATGGAGAGAAGCGGGAGCGAATCAGAGATCTGCTGTCGCCAGCGCTACTGTAATTGAGCACTGCGATAGGTAGACGCGTCGACCAATAGGACACGTTCCTGTTACACATAAGCAAGAATCAGATCCTGGAGCTAACGTGCGGCTTACTACGATTACTACGGCCACTTCCCTGCAGCTCGCGTTGGCTGGTGAATTGCAACCGCGTGTTACGTGACGAGGTTGGCTGAGACCTTTCCCACCCCTTCATTTCCTTTTCTGGGGGGGGGGGGATTGGGGTGGTGTACTTCAGTATCAGTTAATGCTCAAAATCAGAAAGTAAATCAATAAAACGGGAGGGAGGAAATAATATCTTATTTTTAATAACATGTCTTTTTCAACCTTAACAAATTGGAGGAGCTCGAAGCCTTGCGTACTTATGGTTTGCATTGAAGGCTTTCTCTAATTTTCTTATAGTAAGGTACAGGGAACTCGGGGCCCCTTGCTTTTAAATAGACTCCCGGAGGATTGTGCTTTGTGAAATCAACACCGAATACAGAACGGATGTTCACATCTGAATCAGCAGCGGATACTTTTGAGCCGATTAAATGTATCCATGACCTGCTATGGGAAGTTATAGTTATGCTAAATTCAGGCTGGAGGCGGAGAGGAAAATAAGGAAGGGGAGGGATAGCAAAGCTGACCAATGACATTTTTTCCAACACTTGGAGAGTTCTGCTTTAGGGTAATTCTCCCCACCCCACCCCCATCCCTGTAATTTCGGGAATCCATTTTCTCCTGTTTTTCTTGCTTATCTGAAATGTGGGGCTTTTAAAATTCTATCTTTGCCCCAACAGTTACCTATAAACAGCTTGACCGGGTCTCCTAGAAATAGCACGAATGATAGCTATATTAATATATTCATCCAAGGAGCTTAATTCTGTAAAAATATATCAGAATTCATTATAAATCTCAGTTCTTCGAATAGAGACTTGCCTTTTCCGATTGCAATAACCGTTACAGTACTTTGTGTGCCTATAACTAACAGTAAATCTTAGTGTAACTCAAATTTTCAGAATATTTTTAAACATTCTATGTCAGCTTTAAAATTCTGGTATTGTTTTTTAAAGTAGTCATTTCATTGTAATTTTAGTGACCATGTATTTTTCTCAACAGTGAACCTTTGAAAAGCAACTGAACACCACTTTGAAATGTTAATCTATAAACTAGTATTTTAATTGCAAATAGTTATCAAATATTTGTAATTTTTCATTTGAAGGAGCTAAAAGAACAATACATTTCTTAGAAATTGAATATTTCATCAAACTATTTATACTCTTGCCATTTTATATGCTAAAATTGATATTTTATATTTAAAAATACTTATTGTCAATGAAAATTTAAGGTACTTATTTTATAGAAACTAATTCATGGGTCTTACCATGTTTATTCATCAGTTCAAAATTCACTCAAATATTTCATAGAGTAATTGATTTCATAAATATCTGATTAAACCTGAAATATGTCTTAAGTTTAGTTTCATTTCAGTTAAGAAAATATTAAGTAGTATTAACATAAAACACCTGAAACTGTTAATTATTGTGTCATGTTTATAAAACATAATTGCATATGTATTTTATAAATTGTTACTACAATTATAACTTTGGAAGTATGACAGTGTAAGCTATTTTAACTTGCTTTAAAAATTCTTTTATTTAAAATATTAACTACAGAAAAATGTAGCATTCAAGAAGATGTATGTTCACCTAATTACTTTATTGGGAGCTGATCTGACCTAGCAGTTTACCTGTTAAAATACTTTTTCATACCTAAAAAAATGTTCCAAAACAGAAAAAAAGAATTTTAATTAATATCTTAAAGCTGTTTATTAATGACAGTGCCAAAAGGTAGCAATTGATTCATACCCATTTGCTTCTTAAACATGTTTCTGATACAAGTGCTATCAAAACTGATTTCTTTCAGTATTTGATTATCTTGACAAAAGCATATAGCCAAAATGTCAATTAAAAGTAGAGCATTTCTGCAGACTAAAACTCAATTTGTTTACCTGCAAACATGACAATATGTATTATACTATGTTCTGCATATTTTCACAAAAAAAATAGCGCAGGTATTGTCATGGTAAACTAAATTAAATGCTGAACCGTTGTAATCTACCCATTATAACTACTTGCTCCAGCTATACAGAATAAATGAACCCTTTCAACTAAAGGGAATTCTTAAAACCTACTGGATTCCTAGCTATGAAATACAGTGCTGGCTTTCATTTCCATACTCTCTTCATCTTCAGGCTTCATTTTGTTTGCCCTGGAACCAGGCTCCACACATTCTACTCCCCCACCACCACAAACCCACCATTGTACACTTACAAATGTTGAAAATTATGAATGGTTCCTTGAACCAAAGAGGGGAGGAGAATGGGAGTAGATGGATTCCCCCGTTCTATGATAATTGCAGGGATATGTGGTCCAATCACTCCCATTTTCTGAGCCAGAAATCACCATTACTAAATTTGAAATAATGGAGGAAGGAAACAGCTTGGGAAGGGGGAGACATCCAGAGGAGCACATTGTCCTCTTCCCCCTGCGCACTCCCACTTTTTAATCACCCTCCAACTGGCCTCCACCCCTTTGTCCTCCCGATTCATAATGTTGAGCTCTAGAATCGATGCAACGAACGCTCATCAAACTGCCAGAAACATTATTATGCAGGAAGGAAAGAGGTGGGTGGGAGCTGTTTCAAGGAGACGGTCGTTCCTCCTCCTCCCGCCCTCTACGAGACCCTTTGGTCTTTCTCTGGCGTGTAGCCAATTGTGAACAAGGCACTAGACAGAGCTACCAAACGCGAAATCCCGGGCAAAAGTGGTGCTAGCGCATCGTCCATGAATTTGTGTGGAAGGCTAGCTCTGAGATCACTGTTTTTCCCTTGATATCCCACGGAGGTTCTTTAGGAGCTATAATAACTCAGCAGGCCCAGGCACACTTTGGGGAACCCCAGGGATTGCGGGGAAGGCGAATGGGTGGCCTTTGTGTCACATTTGGTCGCCGCCTTCCTGCTCTTCTGCCTTTCCCCTAGATTAAAGGTAGGGAGGAATTTCGTCTCTCTTCACCCTTTGTAGTTATACTGTTGTCCCGATCCAGGCGAGGGAGCTTCTGAGCCTCGAAAGGCAGAGAAACTTGGCATAAAGGAAATAGTTCGTATACACAGCAACTAAATCCGAAGGAGAAAGTAGAAAACAGGGGAAAGAGCACGCGGTCAGGAGTCCTAGCCGATCAAATGCCGCTCTTTAAAAAAAAAAAAACTTGCTCTGAACGGCCAAACCGAGCTCGCTTTCTACTCCTTTGTGACTCCCTGAGCTTAAATCTGCTGTTATCTAATTGAGGCGTTCGTATTCCTCACGTGAGAAGTTGATTGGTAGTATGAACACGTGGCTCATTCAAAAAGCCGGACTATTCAAGTGATTTTTTTTTCTTTCCCCTCCTTCCTCCCTCTCTCTTTTTGGAAGAGGCGGTGCCTGCCCTCTCGTATTGTAACATTTTCATACTCCGCCTGCTGCTTGCAAGCGGGCTTGGGGGTAAGAGAAAAAAAGTAGTTTCCCCCCCCCCACCTTTCTCCTCCCTTTCCCTTTTTTAAAACCGCCATCGCAGTTCCGAACGCATCGTGATTTCCTCGGGTAGCGCAGCGAATGTTCAGTATTTGGTCACAGGGTTTTTTTTTTAACTCTAAAGCGGGAGGGAGGGGTAGGTGGGAGACGGACGGATACAGGCTGCAGTTATAAGTCTTCTCTCTGCCTCTCTTTCTCTCTGCACCCGCCCTCTCTTATTTTGATTCCAAGAATCATTTGAGGGGGGGTGTTTTTTGTTGTTGATTCAAGTCAGCCTGTGCATGTTTTCTTTAATTGTCGTTAAGCAAAGGTCTATTTTTCGCTAAGAAGATGAACAAGCTGTACATCGGGAACCTGGGCGAAAACGTGTGCCCCATGGACCTGGAAAGTATCTTTAAAGAGTCCAAGATTCCTTTCACCGGCCAGTTTCTTGTGAAGACGGGATATGCTTTTGTGGACTGCCCCGACGAGAATTGGGCTATGAAGGCCATCGAGGCACTTTCAGGTGGGTGAAGTTCCCTCAGCCATCCCAGCCTTAGCTTCCTACTACCCGCACGCTCAATTAAGGGCGCCATCCGCTGCCTTCCCCTGCTCCAATAACCCCCCGGTAAGAATTCTCTGTGCTCCACCCCTCTGCGTATTGCCCTCGTCATTTTGATTTAAAATTCCTACTCCCGGATTATAACCACTCGATTCGGTCCGAAGGCTCTTCCTGACGGGTTTATTTCGGTGCGGGGTTCGGGTATATAGGCTGCACTTATTCTGAAGGACTCCAGCCGCGCTGCTCGGGCCCCCCGAGAGAGCACTGCTTAGATTCCCTCGAGGAGGTTGCTTCTCCTTCCTTGCAGCCTCGGGCACTCTTGTCAGGTAACGCGGGAATGGCTGGGGTTCAAGCCGTTTCTTTCGAGGGGAAAAAAGCATTGCGAATAGAAATTACAAGACCGCTGGACTCGGAGAATTTGCTGCTCTTTGTCTCTCCCCCCTCCCACTTAAAAATAGCATTTCAAACGTGTTCGAGAAAACGGCGTGTCGGAGAGGGAGAGAAGACGCGCTAAACGTCGCCCACAGTAGTAGAAAAAGGGAGGCGCGCGCAGAAACGCACACGTCAGGGCCCAACTAGCAGCCACCTATTTCGTGGCGCAGGGACTCCCCTCGGTCTAAACGCTCGCGCACGGAATGCCGCGGCAGAGAGATGTAAGTTTCCAGTTGTCCGTGGGGGCAGGTGGAAATGAAACACGAGCCTTTCCATGGAGGCAACGTGCGGCGCCTCAGGCTTTGCTGGAAGCGTGCGCGGCCGGAGATTTTCGCTGACTTTTCTAAATTACGCTCTCTTTCCCTCCCTGCCCCCTATTTATTTTGAATTTGTGAGGGGAGAGTTGTCGAGCATGGGGCTGTTGATTACTTCTCACATTGAAAGCCAAACTTTGGCTGGTTAAAATAAAACAACAACAAAGGGCTCCTCCTCCTGCTCCTCGGCGTCCTGCCTCTTTCGGGAGAGAGGTCGAGGCCTGAAAGCCCAATTCGCCGCTGTTTCTGGGTGTCATTTCGGTTTTCCTTTGGCTCTCAGGCATTCACTGAGCATCTCGACCTCTCAGTTTCTACATCCTGTTTTTGTGTGAAAGACGACTTGGCGGGCTGAACGGGGGAGGCTGGTTAAACTGAATGATTTCATTTGAGTCCTGTTTTCCTCTCCTCCACCTCTGAGCTGGGGGAAGGGGGGGAAACCTTGTCTCAGCCGGTGACTGTGGGAGTAGGCATATGAAAGAAGACATGAGAGGGTGTATTTCCAGGAAAAAACGCGTGGGGAGCGCTCATTTTTCACTGAAACCAGCAGTTCCTGTTTCCTCGTGACAAGTTATTAGAGGCCTGTTCTTTTCGTCAAGGGAGACATACATATGTATATATGTCTTTGTGCAGTTAACATTTCCACATATTTTGGAAAGCATAGGTTAAATAATAAGCATCAATTTTAGTCTCTTAGTGCTAGTTTGAGATTTATCTTGGAAATTGGCCTCTTCTAAGGTTACCTTTGTGACTTTCCCATCATCCTACAACATTTTTAAAACACATAAATGAGTTGTATTTGTGGTGTTCTACATCATTACATATTCAGTTCAGTAGGGCGTTAGAAGATCTGAAGGAGTGGGAGAGCACTTAATTCATTCTATAATGAGTTGTGTTACTGTTTGCAGGTAAAGTGGAGCTGCATGGTAAACTCCTAGAAGTTGAACATTCAGTTCCCAAAAGACAAAGGTATTTTATTACATACGCATCATAGTTTAATGCCTAAATTGAAAAGTGCATTATTTATAAGAGATTGAGAAAGTACTTTAATCTGAAATTAGTAATATATTTAAGGGGAAGCTGTCAAGAGAGTTGTGATTGTGAAAGTTTAAATATTAAAATATTGTGTAATGCAATTAGTTTAAAAGAAATAATTTAACATTAAGAATTAGCATGTTGAAATGTCAAAAGATAAATGAGGTCGGTCATCTTTCAAGGTTGGTGGTCTGAAATTTGAGAGGATACTATTATTTTGTAAAAGGCCCACGGTGTTGAATTGAAGTATTTTCTCATCAAAAGATATTATAAGGTAGACAGTGGTTAATTTTTTTATGGCAATGAATGCTTATACATAATTAGCCTTTACTGAACTGGGTGAAGGGAGTAGTTAGCAGTACAATTTTTATGGAGCTGATACATTTGAATCTACCTATTAGAGCAACTTAACCCTGGGACAAGTACATCCATTTTCAATTCCTGAATAATCAGGCTTATAAAGTATTCCCAGTTTTTAAAGAACACAAATTTTGCATTTTTGTTGTTATTTTTATTAAGATTTGAAACCTAGTTATAAATATTAACTAAGTAAAAACATTTTTTTAAAAAATCTTTTAAAAGACCTTTACAAAAAGTTTGAAACTTATATTAGATATATATTAGATTATATATTAGATTATCTCTTATTGAGAAAATATATAACACTTATTTAAAGAATTTTAGTTGGAAATGTAAGAGGTTGTTGGCAGAATACCAGTGCCAATTGCCATATCTGTTGTGTGTTAAATCTACTGGTATTTATTTTGTTATGCTTACTGAACACTTCTGCACTCACATTTCATTTGTAAACTCATTAGTGATATCCATTATGTATAGGCTTATTTAAAACTTCATTAAAAATTAAGAACTAGTTCCTAGGTATACACTACATATTTGAAAATATATACCAGAAATACATTTCTTAAGATACACATTGCAAATTGGTATCATGCAAAGTCGTACAATAGCCAATATTAACATCATCATACTTATAAAATGAGAAATTGTAATGAGTTTATAATACATTTTTATTACTGTCAAGCAGTTGTTATTATTAGTTGCGAAGTCATGTCTGACCCCCATGGACAACATTTCTCCAGGCCTTTCTGTCATCTATCATCCTCTGGAGTCCCAAATGCTAAAATGTTAAAAATTTCTTTGATACATTTTCTCTTTATTGGGTTATTGCTTTGAACCTGAGTATGCAGAAAAAGTATACCACGATATTGGTATTGATTGAAAAAATATCTGCAAATAAATTTATTTTATTTCAACTGCTTTGCATGGAAGAGATTTTTGCTAAAATCATTTAAAAGGCCATCAATGATTAACATACTTTTGAAAACATAATTTAAATACAGAATGCATATGTAAAATATCTGATATGAAGGCCAGATAAAAAAAATATAGACTAAAACCCATTTGGAAATAAAGTCTTGTGGAACCCAGGAAGACGTCCAATGAAATAATGTAAACAATTTATAACAATGTGTTTGGTTGTAAATAATATTGTTTATTGTTACACAATTAAAAAGTATATAGTCCTTTTTAAGTAAAAAATTAACATTCTCTGAGAAGAAATATTTTTCATCATTTGCTCAGCTTTTCTTTTATAACACTTTTTAAAAGTTCTTTGTATAAAGATCTGTATAAATAATTGAATATCTTTTAAGGCAAAATATATGTTTAATTGATAGTTTAGAAATTTTAAGTTAGCTAAGTTTATTACTAAGTTAGTAATACAAATGTATTATAAACTCCCCCCACGTTTGTTTCTTAGTAGAAAATATATACAGTTGGTACCAATTGATCTGGGACTGAACTGATTGGTTAAATGTTTTACTTGGTCATTTGACAACTATACATATATTAAGAAACATACACAAATTGCATTAAAACAAGTATTTTTGGTAAGAAAAATTCTGAACAATTTAGTGATATGTCTATTTCCATATAATTATTCCAGTTTATGTTCTAGGTATTTCTCTTTCACTTAGTTTGGTGAGACCAAGGGTAATTCATGTATTCTCATATTAATGGTTTCAGTATTGTTATAAATATAAATTACATTTGTAGGTCCAGTTATTGCAAGAAATACATCTTTTTCTATGGAAAAAGAGTTTCAAGAACATATTGCTTTCCAGCACTTTGAGCTCCTAAATTAAAAGATGTTGCATCAATATTTACAGAATTAACCTTTATAATGGCTATGAAAAGCAGTGTAGAACTTTAATGTTCTTGAATGCTCATTGAAATCCTCAGACAGGCAAATGGTAAATTTTGTGGGGTGAGAGTAATAGTGGTTGGCATATTCCAAATAGATTAAAAAGAAAACACAGGAGATGGAGAAGAACAACATTTTTATAATAGTTATATTAAGAAAGCAATTTCTGACTTACTAGGAAACCTCAAGGGAACACAAGAATATAATATTTTGGTATTCATGACTTCGTGAATAATAGAGAATACCTTACTATATTATGGAACTTTAAGTTACTTCATTCAGAACTTGGAAATGACATTGTAACATTGCTGCTATTTAGCCACACGTTTGAAAAGAATGTATTCTTAGCTATGATTTTCACTTCTCACAAAAGAGAAAAACTATATAAAACAAGTTCATGCATGCATATTGGAAATCTTTGTATGCATGCCTTTTAGATAGTATTTAGTTTGCTTCAGCAGCTGTTACTTTGTTGGGTAATATACATACCAAAGACTGATTATTCAAATAACATTGTATCATCTGAATAGTATAGCTTCGGAGTGGAAACTGATTCTTGCGGGCTAGGCTACATTATATTGAGTCAGTCCTTGAGTATAAATATTATTTCATCCTCTCAAATTCCATAGGTATGACATTTATCCCTAAAATTAGAATCTTCTTGAAAGTACTACTATTTTTTTGAGGAAAGATACTAATCTACTTTACAGCATGTGTCTCTGAGTGTGTTTTTGGGGGGGAATCTGTGTGTGTGTTACTTTCCTAATCATGTACCTTTACTTTGTAACAGATGATCAGAAGTGAAACAAATATGCTCAGCAATTTTTTTGTCTCCGAGCTCATGTATAGCAGTGCCTGGTGGTATATTATGAATTGTTCCTGCACATTAAAACAAACATACAACCTTCTAATTCTTATAGTTCAGATACCAAGGTTAAGCCATCCTGTTCTTTGTCTGAACATTTTATAAACTTCTCTCTGCCACCCAAATTCCCAATGTCGAGTAGTGCTCATAAAACGAGAAACAGTGGTTTAGAGAGTTGGAAAAATGAGATGGCTGAAGAGACGAGACTGCTCATTGACCTTCTAATTTAATTTTTTTTCCATAGTAATTATGTCAAGTGTTTTATGGAACAAGGACAATTATGAGGCAAAAAATCACCTGTCTTCCTCTGCCATTCTATTTGGTAACATTTATATGACAGACATGAATTTGGTGATTAAAAAAATAAAGCAACTTTAGTATTTTCACAAACTACTTGAAAAATATACCTAGACCACAGATTAGCATACATATATTATTCAGATCAGAGTTCTGCACAAAATATGGTAGGTTCTGGTTTACTGAATAATTAAACAATTTACCTAATAATTTTAAAAAATATGGGTGAGAAAAATACTGAAAATTGATTGATACTTTAAAATGTTCTTAGGAAATCTAGTTCTATGAAAGGAATTAAAGGTTTTGAGTGGTCTCCCCATATTGTCTTGCATATTAGCCTTTATGTTCTATAATCCTATATCCAAACCATTGTATTAAAACGTCTACAAAATGTCTATAATGTGTACAATCCATATATATGGATTGTACACATTATATATATATGCTGGAACCAGCATATATATATATATGCTGGTTCCAGCACCTTAAAGCTACAGGACATGAAATTTTGAAGGAACCAAATCTCCAAAACTGAACACTTCAAGAGAATAATCGTGGAAGCTATCAAAATAGAGAAACACCCCCACAACATGAATAAAAATGATGATACCTCCCGCCTACCAGACACCTGGAAACCAGCCCTAGTCAACAAACAGCCCCACCCACCATCCAGGCCATTACAACATGAAACAACAATGGACACACAGCCAGCATCAATCAGCACCAATCTACCATTCATGATACAATCACACAACCAATCATTCCACTTAAATAAAGACTGCAGCTCCGACCATGCTTTAAGCCCCAAATCTCACTGAAATGTTGCCAAGACAATCTCAATCTTACATGGGAAAAGCCCCAAATGCAACAAGACCAGCAAACACACACATATATTTTCAGTTTCCCCGAAAATACGACCAGGTCTTATTTTCTTTTTACTTACAAAATATGGCCTTGGGCTTATTATAGGGGAGGGCTTATTGTTTTGGGGTTGCTGGGCGGCTGCTCCCTTGCGAACTGGCTCCTGAAGAGCGGGCACAGCCTCAGGGGCAAAGCAGCCATGAGGTGACCAAGCTCACGAGTAACCACCTGGCAACCCCCCTCTCCAGCCGGGCAGAGAGCCGTTCACTGACTTAGGGAGTATCCCTAAGGCACCAAGCCATGTGGCACTGCCCGCTCCCCAGCTCCTGTGGCTTGGCACATTAGGGATACTCGCTAGGTCAGTGCATGGAGCTCTGCCCAGCTGGAGAAGAGGGTTGCGTGAGAGCCTGTTCCGCCCCAGCAGGCATGCCTCCTAGCCTCAACATGTCCAGGCCCAGGTCTCCCTGAAGCCACTGCTGAGCGAAGATGTTATGCTCGGAGCACTGCGGTGGCTGCTGCAGGGAGAGCTGGGCCTGGACATGTTGAAGCTAGGAGGCATGCCTGTTGGGGTAGGAACTGGCGCTCGCACAACCCCCTTCTCCAGCCGGGCAGAGCTCCATGCACTGACCTAGGGGGTATCTCTAATGTGCCAAGCCATGGGAGCTGGGGAGTGGGCAGAGCGTCATG